TTATCTATGTTTTGACATCCAACCAACTCCCATTCTATGCTTGACTCTGCACAAATTATCTTGTGCACCAAGTTGAAAAAGGTGGAATTACTTATCACTCTGATTCAGGTACAGTGAAGTCTTAATCATAGATAAGGAAATTCATTAAAGAGTACAATTTTTAAAACATATTTTCCATCAAGAATTTTTTTTTTCCCCACAAGACCATTCTTACTATTCTATGAGACTCGTATTTTTTAGTGTTTTTCACCATTCTTTGAGCATGGGAAAATTCTGACAATACAAATTTAGAAAACTAGGCTGCAATGCATCACATCCAAAGTTGGTCTAGGTAGCTGCTACCTCACACTTAAATGGAAAGTACTCTTCTAGGATAAGTAAGTGTTTTCTCTTGGTTTGTTTATCAACATTTCAATCACTTGAATGAATTTGCACCATTTCAGTGGGATGAACTTTTTTCTCTACATTTATTTGGAGCACACTTCAGAAGAACCCTGTGTTTAGTCTAGATTACACTAAGGTCTGTGTGCTTTCCATGAGCATATCAGATAAGCACCTTTTGTGTCTGTAATGCAAGAAAGATTAGGATTATTTCCATTATTTCTAACAATAAGATGTGTGAAAAGACTTTGAAGCAGAATCAGAGTACTTCAAACTCTCTTCCATTTCTCAGGAAGAAGACAGAAAGAGAGGAGAAAAAAAGAAGAACTAAAATGAATCCAGACTCTCAGTGTTCTGCCTCCTTTTTTTTCAGGCAATTTTAGTAAAATCAGAGAAAGAGTACTGTCACTGAATGATCTTAGGGATGGGTGAGAAGAGCGATGCTTTGTAATCAATATGAAGGTATTGTTGTCAAAATATAGACCTCAGGTGCCAGGCACTTGGAAGCAGCTGTGCAATAAAAAGAACATAATTCAGTTGTGTGGTTTAGGTAGGAATTGTTGTCTCTTCCTCTCAGGACATGATTGGAAGATAAAAGTGAATTATCAGATTAGCAGTTCAGCAGTGATACTGAGGGGATTACGCAGAATTTTTTTGTATCCATAAAAGACTTAAAGACCTGCAACTAAACCAGACTAGTGGAGTGGAAAAGTGCTTTTAAATGTACAAATGGTGATTTGTCTTCCCAACCTATGCAGCCTTCTTAGCATGCTGCCACCGTGTGTAGCCCTCCTATTATCTTCTGGGTTGAAGATCTATGTCTGGAAGCATGCATTATTACATGCTCATGGGAATGAGCTGCAGGAGGAAGAGGTTCATATACAGCAAGGTGAGCTTCTGATAAATTTGGCAATCAGATTGCTGCAATAACATAAGCTTTTTTTTAGACCATAACACCTCCTGCACTTCCTGCTTAATTTTTCTAAATAAAGCAATATGAAGATAATCCATCATACCTATAGGTCAGCTTGGGAACAACTTCTCTCTAAAGTCCAGTAGAATCTACTTCAGAGACAGCCCCTGCTGTCTCAGACTGCATCTTCTTGCAGAACAGTGATTCCAGCCTTCAGGAACACTTTCTGGGACTCACCAGTTACCTCTGTGCTTTCAAGAGCAGCTGTGTGTGAGCATCCTGATTAGATGTCCACAGCTTCTGAAAGAGCACAGTGTTGCTCTGTGTTCCATGGAGAAGCCAATGTAAAGTTCTTGGAGACCATAGGCTGCAATCCTTATTTGGTGGTGAGGCACCAAATGCAAAAGATAAGCATTACCCTGGTCAGAAGCCCTGGGCCAACAGAAGCCCGGATGACCAGTGTTCAACTCCCCCCCCCCCCGGTTATTCAGTCATGTTCATGTGAAACATAAGCAGAACATTCTGCAGATGCTCTAAGAATTGTACAGTATAAGCAGGGGTGATTGGAAAAGTCTTATTTTGGACAAAATGCACAATGAGTGCCTTTATATGGAAGATTAAGTTTGCAATAATCATTTTAAGAAATTAATCCCCCACTTCCTTTCCTATAAAACAAATGGTGTATCTGTAAATAATGTGCCTTGTTTACTGCCAACTACGCTAACCCACATATTCTTTTATTTCTTCAGCAGTAACTGGAACCAAAGTTCATGCCAAAAGAATATCATGCTTCCTTTTTTCTTAGAAATCTTTCTGAAAATTATGACTGCTCTTGTTGGCCAGACTATCATTAGGATATTTGGAACAGTATGTCATCTGCTGTGAAATTTCATTTACACTCATTTACACTGTGTAGGTAGCCCCAGCATCATATTTCTGACATCAACCAACAATGGCTTTGTCTTCACAGACCTCAAAAACTTCCACTTCCAGTGGACTGTCTTATGAGGCACACTCTCCCCTACAAAATTGTTCCAAACATTTTTAGTCCATAAGTAGCCGATGTCAGTTGCACTACAGCTAACTGAAATGTTGCAGCCTTCTAAGAACTCCAGCAGAAGTTTGTATGTACAATACATATCAGGACAGAAGACCTGTATGCGTGTGCATCATTTTTATCTAAACCTCAACTGTGGACCATATGGCCAAGCTGAAGTTGAACCATACTGCAAAACAGTAACTGTTCTACATTAGCCCCTCTTTGCAGCATGTTACTTGATAGGATCCTGAAGTCAAGTAGATCAGAAGCTGGAATTTACCTTTGCACTGTAATCTGTCTATTATGTTACAAGATAATAATGCAGAACAGTTACATAGTCCCTCAAGAATGAAATTTTCAAGATATATAAACTCGTGTAACATCAAATCCTGAAACCTCACCTGTATAAAATTCCACCCACATGAAGCAGCAGAAGGATCAGCCAAGTAGATAGTGAGTTTCATCTGTTCAACACAAGATCTACTAATAACACTGGAAAGAAGACCCAAATCTGCCATTGGCTGTTTCTGACTTTCTGTCCTCACCAGAACATGAAAGGCTACACCTACATTAGCAAATACAATGGGCCAGGACAAGTGCAAAGATCACAGATATTTATGTTTGTACAGACAAACTTTCCCTTTCACAAAGAAGGATGTCACTTTATCAGAGACATTTGGGGGGAGATTGCTTCTTGGCATGACTCAAAACTGTGCCGTGAAAAATGGTTAGAATTAAACTCATACTGTCACTACTGCTTTAGTTCTGTTTGGTGTGCTCATTGTGCTCACACTGTTATCTAACCATACACACCTGCCACTATTTACAGCAGACACAGAGATGGAGAGATGTGACTAATGCCTTGCAACAGGGCTGGACTCACAACCAAACTGCAGCGTTGTGACCACATCCTCACGGCGCTGTGGCTTCAGAGCCAGCCTTTACCTCACACCCAGTCATTTAAAAACAGACTTGAATAGATACTTGCTAATATTTCTGTTCATGGCATTTTAAGTACTACAGTTTTTTTAGAGAAATACTTGTTCTTGCAGCCAAATTTATGAGAGATGGTAATCAATGCCTGGATCCATGCTTAAGCAAGAACTATGTTAATGATGACTCAGCAGCATCTGCTAATCAGGTCTCTCTCCCACATCTGTAGGTTACCCATGTAGCTCTACCAACCTCAAGGTTTTGATTCAGCTCAGATATTTAATCATTGAATAGTGGTTTTTAATTAAAAAAAAATATCTATCACCTAAGATGGTTGGTGACTAATAAGGACCCTCAGGAAAAGTAACCAGCTAGACACAACAGAGTCAGGGAAACATTCAAACTCAGTGTGTATCAAATGACATCTCTAATCAAATGATCATTAGCAGGAGCATTTTGTATTGTGTGGCAGACCCTGACAGATCACTGTCCTTTACTCAGCTAATATGTTCTATTAATCTTATTCGAAAAGCAGTGTTTCACAGCAGGCTTTAAAACCACGCCAAATCAGAGCTTGTCAACTCATAAGTAAAGCACAGCAAAGTTATTTGCAAAAGGCATAAGCCGATATTTTCTAAACACTGGAAAACTACAAAAAAGCGAGTAAATGACCTTTTCCACTGTAGCATTAACATGAAGACTGCAAGCATCATCTTCTCCAGCAAAAGATTCTCAAAAAGCCTAGCGTACAGTTCAATTCAATATCAAGCAACTCAACTGGAAGTCTGCAGAAAACCATCTACTAAAAATGTATGCCAAAGTTGTATTTTCCTCTGCCTTCCTGTACACAAATTAGTGTTCTCAAGGTGAAACAAAAACAGAATGGCTTCACTTTGTAATATGCATTCTAAGCATCTTTGGAGTTCATTTCCAAGACAACAGCATTTCTCTGAAATTTCAACTTGTCCATCTTATTAGTGGTTCCACATTCAGATTCATATCTTAATAAGGGTGATACTACTCCAAGTTTCACTTGCAGCAGGACTCTATTTTAACATTTTTAGGAATTAAAGCTTTTTTAAGACTCTTCCAATCCATTTTCCACCTAAAATGAGGTGATTTTGTAGGTCATTTTCCCAGGCTTGGCAAGTTGAAAAATAGCTTCTATGAGACTTCTACAGGAAATTCTGTCAGATTTTACATTCTTATAGCATTTACCAATAAGCATGGTACAAAGTGATATTTGTCAGTGCTCAAAATATATTTCAAGCAGATTTTTATTTTTTTCTAATTAGTCACTGCTTTTTCTATAGAAAATATTTTGCTTTGTTTTTTAAAGACTAACCATGTGGCTGAGTGTGGCTTAGGAATATTCCTTTAGAAAATAAAGTTTCCATTAATTCTACCTCTGATAAACATCAATATAATTAACATAGGATCCCATGGGAAAGAGGAGTAAGAATCATCTTGACAGCAAGAAGCAGAGACAAAGAGAGCAAAAGACGAGAAAGAAAATTTCCCAGGGCAACAGGGCATTGCAATACAGTTTGTGGAATCCAAGAGGTACTGAATGTTGCTGGACCATAAAGAAGAAATAGGAAAAAGGATCCAGGCTTCAAGGATCCTTAAATAAATGGAAAAGTATACATAAAATGAGTCAAAATACCAATTCTTACTGAATGCTGCTGTCCCTGGCCTACTGAGACTTAACATTGAATTAAAAGAGCAACTCACCCTTTGACCTGGTAAACCTGGGACTCCAGGCTTGCCCTCTAGACCAGCCTCTCCCTTTAAAAGTAAAAGTATTTTTAGAAGGTTAAGCAAGTAAGAAAAACTAACGAACTTTTAAACTGTTTCCTAATAATGCTGGGCTACAGTTACTGCATGACACTTAGACAACACTTATCTGATAGTTATGTTGTCCTGTGAGAGGAAGAGAATAAGAAAATGGCATACAGAAAAATGACAATTCCTTGATTAAATACAAAGTATACAACAATGTTTAAAGCACATAATCAAAATCAGATTTACCTAAGTAAACCTTCACAACGCCATCAATTTTATAAAACCAATCAACAGTGTAACACAAGGAAAAATTGAAAAGTGAGGAAATGCAGAGTATGTGCAAATCAGGCAGCAGTCTAATGTGAAATTTACCACATAGCTGTGTTATAAAACGTACCCGGAAGACATAAATAAGTAAAAAGAATGCAGGTGTGCCTAAGTTATTGCAAATACTGTGTTGTATTCCTTGCTGAGATACAAACACACATACCCACCTCTTATTATAGCTGGGACATTGTGGCATAAAGCCAACCACTTTGCAGCAACCATTCTTTGATCATTAGTCTATGACAGCTTACAGGTTTTTCTGGTGAAGAAAACTGTGGGCATTGTATAAGACCTTAGTAATGGGTAATGTATAATGTTGTGCATATATGCCTCACATCAGTCTGAGTTTCAGATTCTGAGGACTGTAAGCAGTAAGAGAAATTACTTACTGGGAGTCCAGGAAGTCCAGGTTGGCCTTGAGGTCCTCGTGGGCCAGGCTCTCCCTGCAGAAAGATGTTAAGAAAATAAAGTATTAAAATACTGGCAGAAAAAATCATGTGGGCATAGTTCTCATACAGGTAAGCTGTACAAGACCTACACCACCCCTTTCCTCATTGTTCCCAAAGCAGCAGTACAGGGACCAGCTGATTTAATTCTTAGCTACTTGAATTACCAGCACTGATTGCAGTGCATGCAGAACGATCCATCGATGCCTAGTCATCATTTAACCATGACTCTCTCTTCCTCAAAGGTTGTAAGTTAACAAAGACACTGGGCTTCCCTGGATATTCCAAATACAGTTTAACTTTTATATTAACACTGTCCAAATTTTAAAGAATTGCATGGCTCAATCTTTCCAACTTACACTTGTCACTCATGTTAGATTCACTGCACTTCAAAAGGACATTACCCTTTTCCCTCTCGTTTAAGTTTATAGTCCCCACTATATGTTAACTTGTTTCTTGATTCTCTGACAATGCTTCTATCCACCTTAATTTTGAAATGCCATTTTAAAGAAAATCTAATCTATCTGGCAGTTGAAGCACATAAAACACCTTTGCAGTGGATGCACAGATATCAAATCTCTCTTACTTGCTCTCCTTTCAGGCCTTCAGAAGGTACCTGTAATAAAAATGTAGAGTCATCAAAGGGAAAACTGAAAAAGACAACAAAGAAGGTTGGAGTATGACTGTCCCACGCAGTGTATTCTTCTCCTCTCATCATTCCCCAGTGTGCATGCTGGAGGGATATATTCTATTCAAGCAAATCATGGTTTGCTCACTCAGCTGTCTGTGACAGGATTTGTGTGGCTGTATAAGCAGTAAGATAGTTCATTATCTCATCAACATAAACTAGTTAGTAAGCACGCCTCAATGCAACCAAAGTGGCTGTGACAGACAGCTGTCAGTCATCTCAGTTCTTCATTGGCACAATTTTATATTCAGTGTTACTCGTCTCAGTGGCTGTTTTAATGTTTTCCACCAATAGACCTGAAGGACTATTTCCTAACTTTTAATCCATTTTTTGGAAAGCAAAATGGATGTACCCCAAAAGCTTTGTTACCATCCCCTGCAGAAATCAGTCTTAAACCTCTCCTCTGCATACTTCTCTGTGTATTTTCTTTTTCCATGCACTCGGAAATTAGCTCTAGACATCTTGTGCCCCTGGTAATGATACTTTTGGTTTCACTGAAGGCATCACTGAAGAGCAAGGGATGCTTAAAAGCACGTTAAGCTTGTGCCACAGCAAAGATCAGCCTCTCCTTATGTTCTCAGTTTGCTCTCTTTTCCACTTTTGTCGGCAGTGGCTCTGTGACCATCATGGAAAACTCACAGTCATGTCACAACATTGCTTTATCAGATGTACCTGAGGTGATGCTTTCTTTTCAAGACCTCATCTTCACACTTCAAAATCTCCCAAAATTATTGGCAGCACATCTCCTTATTTAACTTATCTTCATAAATCTTAACTGGCATAAATTTCACTTCTTTAAATCCATTTAAGAATATTGCATTTAAGAGAGCCTTCAAATTCCCATCTTCCATCTTCTATTTTCACACAATAAAGCTTACAATATTTGATTAAGATAACAAAAACAAAAATCTTACTGAAGATCCTGGCAATCCGGGGAGCCCTGGTTCACCCTGCAGGAAAAAAAAAAAACAAAAATGAAAAAGAAAAAAAAAAAAAAGTAAGGTAAGACAAAGCACAACATAACACAAAACACAACATAGAGCAAAAGCAGACCTCTTTTTCCAATTTCTGTACCATCCCAGAGTTGATAGATACGAATATGCAACCCCATTTAACTTTTCTCCACTCTGCATATAAATACAAGCAGGAACTGATTGTCTTCTGTTACTATAATCATTGACATACATCAATTTCAGTAATACTGCCTTAAAATGGTGCCTTTTTCCTCAAGTCATTTTTACAGTGCAGAATGACGTTATAAGTATTTGGTTTAGCACTGAGATGCTACATCCACTCTGCATGACTTACTGCCACCCAGGCTAACAATTTGTTCCAGCAGTTTGTCTCCAGCAGAGCCCACTATTTATCATGCTTTAAGACTAAGACTCCAGAAAGTATCTCCTCTACTTTAGGTACAGTCCAATGCAAAAATGATCATTTAGCTACCTTTCACACTCTATTTCTTCATTACTTATGTAAGTCTCTGCTTGAACCAACATACCATTCATTTTCTTTTCTCTTAAGACAAGTTTAATTACTATTGGTTATTTATTCTAAAGAAGGTCCACAGCATGAAGAGGCATACATCATCTACAGTGAAAATGGAGCAAGGAGCTAAATGTTTTCTGGAAGAGTCAGATGCAGCCACAAAAGAGATAAGGACAAAGACTTATGAATCAAGACTGTTCTTTGCTTCACTCATGCTGAAGCACAAATATCTTCCTATCTCTTGTTAACTCCACAGAATAAGAAAATCAGAGAATCACTTGGTTGAGGAGACCTTCAAGATCATCAAGTCCAACCTATGGATAAGCTCTCCTTCTGAAACCTCACTTAGACCTTCTGAATATAAATCAGAAAGTAATTGGATTCATTTTGATGTCTGTATTCTTGGGTAAGGCTCACTACTTGGATGAGAAAAGGAGAAATAAAACCCAGAGCTAGGCATATCTTCCTATTTATGCTAAAGAAATAGAGAATATCAAAAACATGTCAGCATGAGCAAGAAGGAAAAGATAAGGTTGTCCTGGAAACTTTAGTAACCCTGCAAAATAATGAAGTTATTTTACTTCCACAAAGAAGTTTAAGCCTTGAGCAGCAGTGCTATAACCAGATCTGTTTTACTCCTCACTTACGCCTATGTCTAACTGAAGCAATATCAGAAAAGTTACACAATTATTTCTATGCAAGTTTCACTTACACACAAATGAAAGAAGAAGCCGACAGCCCTGATATTTCCAGCACTGGGGCTCATGGAGGAAGTAACAAACGTGTCTTCAAACCTCTTCCATGCATGCCACCCCAACTCACCTTTTCTCCTTTGGGCCCGCTACCACCTGGAGGGCCTGGGCTGCCAGCAGGACCCTAGGAAAAAAAAAAAAAAGAAAGAAAAACTTTGTTTTACATGCACCATACATCAATTGCAGTTTCCCTTAAAGTACTGGGGAATCAGAAGGTTGCAGGTTTGGATGTTAACACTGCAATCAGCTATGTCCAACTGCACAGCAGTATAAGCTAATGCACACAAGACTGCTTTGTCTCTACTACATAGACAAGAAGGGGAATAAGGATGGAGATGCCATGGCAAGCATGATAACAGCCCTCCAATTCCAGCTGGTTGAAGAAGATTGCACATCAAGGAGTATATCAGTGTCAAAAATTTAGGATAAAGTGCAGGCTTGAAGATTTGCCCACTGCTAAGTGTCAAGACATGAAAAAGGCAGAAAAGCTTCAGAATAACGCAACTTCTGTAATAGGCTGTCAGCTGGAGAAATTGTTCCTGAGAAGCAGTAAACATCAGCATCCACCTTTACATCCTTCTGCAATTTCTTGCTTCATCCACATTTGTTGCAAGTGCAGTTTTGTAAACAACGCAATGGGCACAGTGAACATAGTTCATTGAGATTGCAGTGCCGCATCTCACACCAGGAAACATTTCCGTCTTATAAGGATAGTGATAAACACTAACATGAGAAATACTTCATAGTATAGGATAAAACATGGCTGAGGAACAGAGCAGAGAGAAAGTGATGATTAATGATCAAACCTCCCACAGAGAAACAGAAAAAAAAAAAAAAAAAAAAAAAAAAAAGTAGCATGATAATCTCTATTGCCTCGCAGAAAGGAAGGTGTAGTTTAACAAAGGCTAGGATTGTTTACGACACTATACCTTGCCATCTTAATAATCTGAACAGGAAGCAAAAAGACTTCCTAACAAAATCAAATCGATCCTCTGATTTCCAAAGGAGCAAAAGCAAAGTAGTTAGGCAGCTTCTCAACTTCTGCAAATGAGAAAACATGTATTCAAATGACCCTTTACACAGAGGGAGCAGTGACGGATAGTGACTAGAATGCAGATGTAGTAGGCTCAAGGGTGACAACAATAGCTGCATGACTTTTGCCAAATCACAACCCATTTTAGTCTTTTCTTCTTACTCCATCCTCTGCTTTTTAGATCAGAAGATCCTTAAGAATGTCTATCATTAGGTATAGTACTCTGAGTAATGAAAACATCTTGTGGGATGTATGGATAGTAGTTTTAGATACAGACAGAGCATTATCTCTCTAATCAGTGGAAGTGTACTGATTTTATAGAATATCTTTCCAGTTTTATCTTGTTTCAAAAATGCAAATAGTTCCAAGATTTTATACTGAAAAAGAAATCAAACACATTAAATCCAGTTCTCCTCCTTTCAAGTTGTGGGTGGAAAAAATCCACAACTTTATAAAAGTCATTTTTATGTATTCTTCCTTAAGTCTTTAATGAAAATTCAGACAGACTTCTACCCTATTGTGTTCCAAGCACAGGCACTTTTAAATGCATATTGTGTTATAAATTAATTCTTAAAGAGAAGGAAATAAATAAATAAATAAATAAATAAATAAACAAACAAATAAATAAATAAATAAAAGTGGAAAGAGAAAAGGAAAAGAGAAAATAGAAGGAAAAAAAAAAAAAACAGGAAAAAAGAAAAACAGAAAAAGAAGAAAAGGTGTAAAAAAGTAAAATAAGGGGAAAAGAGAAAAAGAAAAAGTGAGGAAAAAATAATAAGGAACATCAAAGTGTGCCAACACAGAGCCTTAGGATAAGGATTCTAAAAACTGCAGATGCAAGAGTCCTGCCATAACTCACCAGTTGTCCAGTACAGCTCACAGATTTAAAGCAATTTGTGCTCACTGCAAAGAAAAGCCTCCAGTTGAGGATTTACCTGTTTTCCTTCCACACCTGGCTTTCCTGGGAACCCGTCTAAACCTCGTTCTCCCTGGAAGAGGATGAGAAAGAACCATTATAACAAATCTATGATGTTTGGACCAGTGTTCTACAAGAGCCATCTACGTTATTCCTTTCAAGCATAAAGATACAAGAAGAGCAATTCATATAATCCCAATGGAGAAAATGCCTGAAGAATTGTACTCCACAAAATTGCTGGGAGCATCCAGAAATGAGGTGAGCCAAGTATAGTGATTAATAAACTTTTATCCCTTATAACTTTGCTAAGTGTTGCCACTTGTCTGTCTAGAAAACTCAGCATCGGGTATCTGAGATGTGAATTTTGAGATGAGAAGTGGTTGTATGCCAGATCTCCACCTGGGCATCCGTCCTCTGCCTGCTGAGCCAGGTTCATGTAAACCAGATAAATTGTAGCAGGAGAATATCAATCTGGAACAGCTCTAACAAAAATAATGAAGCCACAATACAGCAACAGGTCACTTTTAGACAGATAAATGCTTTATTTTTCGCCTTTGTTTTCCTTAACCTGAGGAATCAATTAATCTGTTTTAACATGCTTTCTGAGACATACAGTCCCCTAAAGTCCACAGGCAATTTATTCCACTACTTTACTTTCAATACCTGTAGATATATTTTTTACCCTATATCTAAACTTGACTTTTCTTGCTACTGTTTCAAACAAGTACTTCTTTCCTAAGCCCCCTGGAGAGAAAGAACAGGCTGTTCCCTTCATCTTTACAATGGCCTTTTATGTATCTGAAGACTTAGAAAACTTCCCCTTAGAACTTCAAACCCCAGACTAAACAACCTCAATACTTTCAACTTTTCTTAAAGGGCATATTTTTCAGACCTCTTATCATTTTTGCTTCTCTTATTTGGGCATTATTCAATTTTCCCATGCCTGCACTGTAACTGGATGCCTGAAGCTGAGCTCAGCTGAGGCTAGCTCTGAGAAGAAAGATTATTTCACAATTTGTAGACTACTCTTCTGTTTTACTCTTCTGTCAACTTCAGCTCTGCTGTATTACATTTTAGGGACCATTTTGAATTCTGATCCTGACCTCTACTGTACCCCCATAGTCAAACTTCATACACACATTTCATATTTTATAAAGCAGGTTCTCAAGAGAAATGATGACAAGATCCCATGCTCTCATTAAACTTATTTTTCCTTAGAGATTGTGTCCCTTTCTCATGTAGCCACTTCAGTTTAAAACTCTTTGAATAGGGTCTTTCTCTTACTGCATAATTGCTCAAATCTCTGTAAACATAACACTTTTTGCCTCAATCCTGCACATGCTGCTGAATTCAAATGATCAAATGATGCACACACAGCTACTGCTAACATAAAAGTACATGTAAAAACAAACTGTAAACAAGGAGTAACGGCAGAGAGCAGAGTATTAACTTTACTTTTTTTTGTATGTTTGTTTTTTGTTTTTTGTTTTACTTTCTCAAATTTTTAATTCTTATCAATATCCCACAGTAAGTCTATCAGACCTTTGTTATTATTTGCATTGGATTTAATTTGAAGTCTGCCTTAATTTAGCATTCAGAAATGGATTTGCAAATCAATTGATTTATTTTTGCCCTTCAGACAATCAACCAGCCTCATAACAAAAGGTTATTTCAAAAAGATGCACTCAGGGAGTTAAATTAGAGAGAAACCCTACAAAAAGCAGCTGAAAAACCACTGTAAGATATCCAGACCTACTTGATACTGGGGCAGTAGTTTCCAAGTTCACAAAAACATTTGCAATGCCTAACTGAACTGTGAGCATCCTGAATCTGAGACTTGCAGGAAATGACAATCTGGTGGGTTGCTGACAAAATGAGCACTCTATCCTCAAGAGAATGTCTTAGCATCAATACACTATAGCAGTGAGTACTTCACACATGCTCATTCATCTGCCAAAACAGAAAAGAGTCGATATTCCTACTGCTAGTAACTGGGAAAGGCAAATGTATTATTTATACAAATGCAAACACTAGAGGTGTTTGTAACTGTTCCAAAGAACTGTGCGTTCCAATGTTTCTTCAGAAAAACAAAAAAATTGTTACTGTATATTACTTTTTTCTTTCTTTGAAAAAGGCCATTTAGATAAAGTATATTTTTCCTGAAAAGAAAAAAAAAATCTCCGAAAGATTTATTCTCAAATTTTCACTTTGGCACTCACTTTCCTTCCCTTGCTGAAAGAAACTGATGCAACAGTATGCACTGATATATTGAAAACAGAATTCTATGGAAGTCCACAGTGAGCCCACTGGACACAAAAAGATGTGAGCTGTCACTTCCTTTATGCAGCGGGTCTCCTGAAGTGCAGATGTAACCAACAGTTCTGGGTTTGGGAGCCTCACTATAAAACCTCAGTATTTTCACTAGGGGTCATAGGATATAAGAACACAATGGCAAGATGGGATACTACTATGGGATGTTAGGTCTTTTGTCATATTAGACATACTAAGGTAGCTGTGGCACTGAGGGACATGAGTTAGAGGGCATGACGGGGATGGGTTGATGGTTAGACTAGATGATTTTAGTGGTCTTTTTCAATCTTAATGATTCTGTGAGATTCTATGAATAGACCAATACTCAGTGCATGGGTTAGCACTTTTGTGTGATGCAATAAACACTCTTCTTCTCAGGCAGAGCAGAAACACAGGTTGCGTAGGTGTCAGTCTTCAAATTACAGACTGAAGAGCAGACAGGGAAATATTTGGCCCGCCACATCAACGCCCACTGTTTTCTGCAGCAATAGCAGCTGGTGAAAGTTAAAGTAATGGCAGTGGGTGCTCTGAGAAGAGCATTAGAGTCAAGAAAAAAATCAAAGCACAATTGCTGTAGCAGAGATCTGTCTGCTTCAGGAAAAAGAATAGAAAAAAATACAGGAAAAGGAGAGTGAAAAAACAATCACTGTTTGTTCATATCTTTGTAATGAAACAAAACCTAATTCATCTCTTTTGCACTTCAATCTTTCTTTAGTTTAATCAGTCATCAGCCCACACACAGCTCCAGCTTCCTCTCCCATCATAGTGATGTCAGAAAGATGGATTTCCTTCTGGGAACCAAATATTCCAGCAGATTAGACAACTTCACCTCCAGAAAAGCAGCAGAGGAAACTATACACAAAATACCAAGCCAGTCCTGCCTGGAGGAAAAGATGGACAACTTTGGCTGGGCTGAGAGCATGGTTGTGCCATATGTCTCATCATTTTTCAGAGCAGGATCTGCCCAGAACCCATTTCTCCTGGCAGTGTTATATCTAAGAAACTTTGAGCAGTAGCTGGCAGGTCTGCAGCAAAATGTGGGCATATCTGAGATCTCTCCAAACATGATGAGCAAACTGAAATAATGAAAAACTCTGTGTCTGCCTGGCTCTCCTTCTAAACGCACACTGTGGGTATAATGGGCGCTTCATTTCTTTCCTTAAACCATCGTAGTTCAAATCCCAGAGAATCCTATGCTGTGTAAAACCACTAATTCCAGACAGAAGAGGGCAAGAAATTGGAAGCAGCACTTGTTGGACTAAGCTCTTAATAGAGAAACTACCTTGTACTCATAAAAAACTGAGCTTATAGTGATGAGAGAATACAGAAATGTAGACGTTGTATAATTTCAGAAACTACAGTGAGACAGAGAAATGCTGGATGAAGACTTATTTTAGAGATCACACTGTGCACAGTGTGGACACCCCACTAACTCTACTCAATGGAATCCTATCATCCGAATCTTCCTCTCTTTTCCTCTCTCCCCAGCTACACACAGATCTAAATGTAAGCTTAGTAGACAGCAAAGATCTGCAAACTCCTCCTGCACCTCATAGGAGGCCTTTTGTGGACAGTATTAGAAGGTGCAGAGCAGTTAAGAAACTCTCCATCATTACCCTTCAGATCTACTGGCCTAAAGGACAAAGGTAAAGAATAGTGTGGCTTTTTGAAGTATGCAGAAGAAATACCTTGTCTCCTCGTGTTCCCTTTTCTCCTCTTTCTCCTTGTAAACCCTAGAAATAAGAGGAAAAAGAGATTATACAACTCAATGCAAGAAGGCACATAATTCCTCCAATTAGTCACCAAATCAATGGATGTCTGCACAATCTATTCAAGTAACCCTCAAGGACATTTACTGTGTTACCAGTCCTTAGAGTTGGCCACAAGCATGGTCTAAGAAGACTCACAGAGCGAGGATGACCTGTGGTCCCAAGACCGTGTGTAATAATATGTTGCTGCAACTCTGCAATTGTTCCCAGACACCTAATCCTCCTGCCAGCAGCAATGTGGAGGGACAGGGAACACATCACAGCTGCAGATGATCTGGAAACCATCCAGCGCTGAGCATTTTTCATATTGCTCGCAAACAACGAGAACTTAGGTAAAAGACAATACTGCTGGAAAAACCTATTGCATAAACAAGGAAGAATGCCCATTCCTGGTGGTTTTGGATGCAGTAGCTAGACAGACAGCAAGTACCTCTGAGAATCAACAAATGCTAAATAATCCCTGTCCTGGAGAACAAAGTGTATTTGTGCACTGTGAAACCAATGCTGGAGTTCAACTGGATGGTATAATTCATCTCCTCCCTGGTACATCAGAATAATTTGCTGGAGATTGGTTTGATGAATGACAGCAATGCTAACACTGGAGATCAACTCAATGGGCAGGAATGGATTTCACTCTCTGTTGGCACAGGAAGCACCATCTATTTTGTAGCAACTGTGCAATCAGCTAATGGCTACAGGCAGACAAATACGCTCAGTCAGTAGTGACCTTTCTAAAACTGCTGAAGCTTAAATCACTTATTATAATATATTTATTTTTAAACTTTACACTACACTGAAGACTGAACTCCAAGCTAATGAGAACTATCTGTCTGGAATTATTTGTTCCATAGGATAACTTATCTAACTATTATGATATTCAGATTTCATGCTATGCCTGACTGTGAGCTAACTGCACAGTCCTGTCTATCTCTAATGACCTGAAATGAGCATGCACTGCTTTCATACTGCAAAGCAATAACCAGACTATTTCCAAAAAACAGATGAGGTGAGGTTTTAAACATGGCTCTTTTAATGCAGCAATAACCATGGGGTCCTCATATACACTGTGTAGGATGATTGCAGCCTTGTTGCTTCCCAACTCAAGCCAAATGTCAGTCTGATGATGGAGATGAACACAGTCTCTAGTGACAGTGTACTACATGCAGATGCTTTGTTTCTCATACATAAAGGAAAGTCAAGGAGCAGGAGTGAATATTCTCAGATCTTTGTCCATTTATCTCATTCAAGTTTTAAGAATGTGCAGCATGGGCAGGTAATGAGGTAATGCCTGAACTGTATTCATGTCATTTTCTTCAGGCTAAACTGAGTTCAGCTCTACAGCGAAGCTGCATGCACCTGTGCAAAGACAAAAGTGCCCACGCTATTCTGAACATGTTGGGCCTCTTTGTAGTGAGTTTTAAAGAAAGACCTTGGCTGGTACAGGGAAATCTTCCAGTATGTGAACATGTCTGGTATGCCATTAAAGCACAATGATGTATAGCCAGGTTATTAAAAACTAAAAACTCCTATCAGTCTTTGCAACACCTGCTTTAAGACTGCTTGTGTAATTAGAAAGGTGAGACCACATGACAGGGACAACATGATTTATTTTGGTATTGCTGTCCACTCATTCAAGGCAAGTTTGTCCCATGAGCCCAAAGTGTTGCTTACTGACAGTTTTGAAAATATGATTGGAAATTTGCTGACAATTGGTGTTTCTGTTTGGTGCTATGATGAAGTTTTCAAGCACCGTATAAATGGTGCATCAACACAGACCAAAGCAATTGCATTACAGTGGGAGTATCACAAAATTCCCAGCTGTTATCTTGGTAATCAAGTCATTATTACTGACAATTCTCTAGGTACAGATCTCATTTAAAGAAGTCAGAAGAAACTCAATAAAGCCAAGAAAGTGTTACAATTTGGGCACAGTACAGGTAAGAGGTCAGATACACAATATGCAGGTTAATTTAAAAAAAAAAAAATAGTGGGCAGAACATACTGAAAAACTGGATAAAGTTTCTAGAGTATCAAAAACTTAATAATAATCATAACTTACCGGTGCTCCTACGTAGCCTTTAATACCTGGGGGACCCTGTTTTCCCTCAGATCCCTGGCAAAGAATTGAGATAAAGTAAAATAACAAACATTTTCACATAAAAGACTAAGGAAAAAAACACTTATTCAAAAATGTAACATACTTCTTGATTTATAGAAATCTGTTGAGACTTCCTGACTGTCTCAGCACTAATATACAGAGTAGCACTTGACTTTTCATCTACTTACCCAAAGTGGCACCCTACTGTTTTTTGCTGTCCCTACTGCAATACAAACAGGCAATAGCAAGTTTTACTCTTCTGCTTTCAGTATTGCCCTACAAAGGCAAACTATCATATGAAGCTTCCTCTCGAGGTCATTTCAGAGGTAAAACACTTACTAAACTGGGTGGTGAAGTGGTCCCATTAAAAGGGAAAGACATTTTATGGAAAGACCTGGCAGGCAGAAAGAGCAGGCAAGAAACAACTACATGACTACACTAACAAGAGAAAAGTCCTGTACCTGCAATGGCACAACAACAGAACCCTGTACAGGCTAGGATCTTTGTTACTGAAAGGGACCATGGTGCCCTGGTAGACAACAAACTGAACATGAGTCAGCTGCATCACTGAAGGTAAATCATATCCTGTTCGACAAAACCTGCAGTACTGTGTCCAGTTCTGGTCCTAGCAGTTCATAAAAGATGCAGAAATGGTTCAAAGGAAGAGAACCACAGACATGATCAAAGGTCTGGAGAACGTGAACCATGAGGAAAGACTGAAGCTGTCTTGTAACCATGGAGTAGAGAAGGCTCAGAGGTACCTCATCACACTATTCCAGTATTTAAAGGGTGGCTGCAAAGAATACCAAGGCTCTCTTTTCAGAAAGAGACATATGGAGAAGACGAAAAGGGGAAACTGTGTACTAGCTACAAAAAAAAAGGTTTTACTTTGATGTAAGAGAGAATTTTTTTTTGCAGTGAGAATAATGAATCACTAGAGCAATCTCCCGAGGAACATGGTAGGATCTCCATCATGGAGGTTTTCAATCATGACTGGACAGGGCGCTAGATAGAATCATGGAATCATAGAATCACCAAGGTTGGAAAAGACCTAAAAGATCATCCAGTCCAACCATTCACCTATTACCAATAGCTCCCACTAAACCATGTCCCTCAACACAACATCCAGTCAGATAGCATCATCTAGATTCCATCTTCTCACAAAAGTTTGGATCTTATGATCAAGGTCCATTCCATTCTAGGCTGTACCATGATTCTATATTCCCAAAGGCAAAATAGACTACATCTTCACTGTAGATAAGAGAAATGCAAGAGTATCAGAGGTGTTTCAAAAGTTCTTCAGCTGGTTGTGCACTGATTTTCTTCCTTGAGATGGTAAAATTAAATAGAAAGCACTCTTACTGATTGCTTTGATGTGCCCTTCAACAACTGTTAATGGTCTGGATCCCCAGATGAATAGGATCGGCCCTCTGAACAAACTTGTGGTGACCCGCCTTAGCCTGACAAGGTAGCCAAGGCTTTCTTGGTTGGCTTCTTACATCATATTCCTGGCCAATTATCTTGTTTCCTATCTGACTTTCCTTCTTTTTACATCACCCATCTGGTTAATTTCAGCACTGGATTGCTGCATTGGATAGGGCTTTGAAACAGATCAGGATTGCATTTTAAAATTATTTCTGCATTTCTTATTGATGGATGTTTCTTATTAAAATATGTCTATTTAAATAAATTAAAAAAAAAAAAAAGATTTAAAAACACAGTCCTTGTCTTCAATGAACTGTTAGCAGAAATGGGGCTTTTTTGTCCCAACACAAGTGTTCTGGAGGCTGTTCATGCTGCACCACTGTTTACAATTTGCCTTAGTCCAAATGACAATCTCATTTGCAACAGTTGTTAAGCACAAACCTGGCAGGCTGGCTGAACTGTAGTTGGCAAGCTTCTCACAACTGTTTTAAGCAAAGCATTGCCAAAACTGTCCCCTCCTTTTGCCACAGAGGACTTTGTTCTTTAAAACAGAGGAAACCGTGCCCTGAAGCTTGTGAGCAGTTCATCAGCCCAGTTTTAAAAGAATTGAACGCGTGTTCAGTATGAAAACCAACCATGCCACAGAGTCCTGGGGAGATTCACAAACAAGTTAACAAGAGCTGAGTATATGCACAGTCAAAGTTGGCTCTGAGACCTCTACATCATCTGGCACCTGAGGACCTCTGCAGTGTCAGCTGTGGAAGTTCTCTAAGAGCAGAGAAAGAGCAGGCACACGCTTAATCTGTCCTCAGAGTGCAGAAAAATAATACTATCAAATTTCAGGTAAAACCTCTTGGGAAACAAAAGCCTGCTATTAGTTGTCCAGATTATCAACATCCAACTCAGACTGTTACATAAATCGTGGTTATAACAGTCAGCAAAAGTTATAGATAGAGAAAGTGGATTTGTATGGGAAGACTTGCTGATCCCACTCAAGGCCTGTGCTGAGATCATGTCTGGTAAACCAGAGAAGTGTGAGACCTTCGACAGCTGAAGTGAACAAGAATGAGGAAATTTGTCAAAATTAAAACCTTACTTAATACTTAAAACTTCAAATACTTATTTTTTCTTCTCCATCTGTTTTTCTATTAAGTGCAGATATCTGTCAGTTCAGATAGCAATGCTAGGTCTATGTCAGTTCTACAGCAATGACAGCCATGAGAAAATCTCTTTAACCTTTTATTAAAGATGTAGGGGGAAAAAAAAAGAAGGAAGATTGGGTATTTGCCGCAGGATTGGAAAAGCTAAAGGGTCGTCTCAACAATTCAAGCTTTGTTTAACTGCTACAATGTCATATCATGAAGGGGTTGTACTGTACTCTTTTTACTTTGAACCCACTTATTCCATTTCAGTATCTTTCTGGCTCCCATGTATTTACGTGAGAGGCTTCTCCACTGAACAATGGATATTTCTTTCCATCCCAGTCTACCACAGCATCTTCTATAATCACATTCTGACACTGATCAGCACAAGGCAAGCGCTGAGAGCTCTTCTTTGCTTCCACCCAATTGCAGCCAGCAAGATCAAATATCCATTTTGGTGAGCACTGAAGTTTACCCACATAGCTTGGAGAGTGAAGAAAATAATTTTCATGATGAAGACACTGAGCCAGAAACAATCTACCTTGAAGACTTCATTGAGCAGCAAAAGCTGTAAAGCCAGAGATGACTTATCAAGGGCATTTCATTCCTGTAATACATATGTGTACCCTAATCATCCATTTAGGGTATCTCTGGGGATTGAAGTCCTATTACCAGAAGTCTGCAGGATTCCTTTCTGTGCTATTGGAAATTTCATCACATAATTAATGAGGTCTGTAAAACCTGCACCTCCTTAGAAGAAATTGCTGGCAATTGCTATTGAGGCAAAAGACTGGAAATCATTCAGCCAAGCAGATAAACAGGGTGCTCAACCTCCTAGGGTGCATGTACAGTTTCTGAGCACTGCTGCACTTGACAGCCTTAATGGAAATGAACATGACTGAGTTGGAAGGAGCACATCCCAAATCACCAGAGAAAACTGCAAGGTAGCCCTCCATGGAGCTTGGGGGAGAGCATGAACCCACTGTATTGATGCTGATGATTTAAAATGAAAATAAGTGATCAGGCAAAAAGTAATCATTACAACAGCAATTGGAGATATGACCTTTCTAATACTAACTCTACCCATCTCTATGTAATCCATTCCACAGGAGCAAAGAAGCTGGGCTTTACAAAGGAATGTTGATTCATATTTTTAATTTTAAAGTCCTGTCAACAAAGCATGGATTACTGCTTAAAATAGCTCAGGCCAGGATCCAGCTTAAGGACATCACATATAGTCAGTGCATCCATTAAAATAAGTAAAAGTCACTATGAAAGCACACAGTCATTTTATGTTTAGCTACTGTAGCTTAGAGGCTGGGGATAGCCAAGCTCACCTCTTCCCTGGAAGCACTTGGCAGTGTCTAAATCAAACAGGATAGATGTTGATGGGCCAACACCTATCAACATCTATCCTGCCCAGCTCATAATGCTGAACTTATTCTCTGATTGTCTCATTATTTCACCTTGTGGGAAATATGGAGCTTTTTCCAGAATCAATCCCTTCTGGAGCTATAGATAATAGACTCAATTTAGCTTGATTTTAAAAGCTTTATAAAGCAAGAGTGAGGGACTTCACAACACAAGGAAACAGGGCATTGTACAGCCTACTGGCTTTTAATTCCACTATGGGAAAATATGCAGGGCATAGAGAAAACACATATTTGTTTATTATATAATAGATGATATGCAGCTGATAGTCATTTCTGAGTGATGAATCCCATCATTTCATCTACTTCCTAATTCCACTGAAGGGCAAAACAACATCCAGAGTTCCTTCACACTCAGCCTGGCCTTGCTTTACAGATGTCATTTATCCCCTGCTGAACATGATGCCATGCCACTTCCACAATCAAACCCTTCATGTTGCTGATAGCAATACAATTCCTGCAGAGAACCATGGGATGGCTGCCAAGTATTTCCACTAGTCCACAAATACACCATTATTTCTGATACCCTCCTAATGAGACTTAAGGAAATGATGAACATTTCCCTCAATGAAAACTAGACATTTTGGAGAAGGAGCCTCTGTACATGAGACACCCAGAAGGATCTACATGAATAAACTGCTTCATGGAGTCCTCTCAGACAGAGCCAGATGACCATCAGGATGACATCTAGAATGGTGTTCAGGCATTTAACTCCTACTTGAGAACAATGCTATAAGTGAAATCAACAGGAGGTTTAGTTAGCCAGATAGCTCTTCCAGAAAGATGTGACACTCAAACACCTTTGCAGGTATGAGAGCAGAACTGGATCAAGGAAGTCTGAGCAACCAATCCATTATCCTTGCCTCACCTTTCATAGGCTGAACTGAGCTTGCTGTGCATAACGTCCCTAAGAAAAACACTCATCAGTGTAATGAGCCATCTTCTTTTTGTTTTATGAAGACAGATGAAAGTAGCTGTTGGTTAGTTATCCTCTCACTAACTAGGGAGGCAAGGAGAGCTGAGATTTTGGAAAGAGGACAAAGCATTGCCCATGTGAAGGGCTTCAAAGCTTAGGCACTTTTCTGATGGTAAGCCAAGTCTCACCGAATGCTCATTCAGATGCACATTGTTTGATGCAGTAATATAATGGATGGCTCAAGTTCTGTGACATTTTGCCACTGTCTACTGGTGCATAGTGAAACTCCCATAATGGACAGAAATGTAATTATCCAGTCTAGGATCTACCATGATTTTATTTTTCCAGTTGCAGAGCAGTGCAATAATTCTCACCTGAATCTTTGCGAAAGTTGAGAACATTTATCGAAAACATGAAGCAAAATGTGCTCTCTTCAACTTCTCCAGCTATACTGTTGATCAAATAAGAGGTATTCTCTTTATATGCCATACCTAGTGTCTGGTATGCTATCAGATGTCTTGATAGAAACGAGCATTTTGAGCTTGTACATTCACCAATGGAAACAAAGGAGTCACAAAGAAAAAGACAATTACACAAGCAATCCACATATATAAAAAGTCAGTGTAAAAGATACACTTACCCATATAAAGAAGAAATGGCAAGCCTACCTTTGGACCTGCTGGCCCAGGCAATCCAAATGCTCCTGGTTGTCCTGGTTCGCCCTGTAAACAACAGCAATATTCTGGGACTAGAACAGTCATTATTTACAGCCTTAGGAATGGAAACTCTATCCACAGTCCTGAGTACCATTATGCAGAGATTTGAAAATCTACTTTGTGCTTTCTTTGGGAAAAAAAAAAAAAAAAAAAAAAAAAAAAAAAGCTAGAAGAAACAAGTTGAAAATTGAAGTGGCTATTCATGCATTTTTCAAACCCAGCCTTTGAATAGCAAAAAATGGGTTCTGTAAGTAGTAAACAGCTCACACCAACTACAATCTGCAATTGCTGAGTCCCTGGAGATAACATAGTACATTTGATGGATGCAATAAATAGATCCTATAAGAAATTCTTTAAATCCACATAAGTTGCTGTCTGAATACAGATTGTGCCAGGCAGGAAGTTTGCATCCATTCAGGAAGCAATAAAAGAAAATTATCACACACCTGTCCAAGTGAGACAAGTTCCCAGTGTTGCACAAAGCAGAAACAGGATGTAAATGACAGAAAAACGAGAGCTTTTCTGATATGTATCATTACTTTTGTGCATTTCTGCCCTTCCAATGAGTTCTTTCCCCAAGTTCATCCAATCACCACCAGATGGCTGCCAAAAGAGGACAGCAAATAAGATTTTAAAGACTCTTCCCCAATGATATCTATAGTAAAAAGTTGCCACCCTCCTCAACCAGCTTAACGAACAGCAACAGAGCTGACCCTGGGCTAGCTCAGGATGGCTAATCCACATGACACTCTCCTTTACTACTAGTGACTGGTGAGGCTATTAACTTCCTGCCATTTGTTTCTGCTGCTCCTAAAATTGTCATACAAATCCCCAAGACATGTTCCACTCAATACAGATTGATTTCCACTGCCTGGCTTTCACTGAAAGGCAAGGATTACACAGGAGGAATGAAAAAGCTTACGGCTTCTCCTTTTGCTCCATCCTTCCCCGGGGTGCCAGGCAAGCCAAGGGACCCCTGTAACAACAACAGAACTGTCATCAGCACAGTATTAAAAACAGTTGCAAGTGCAAGGATACAAGCAAAACAAGAATAAGGAATGAGAAGAATCATTTCAATGCAAACATTTATTATTTACAGTCTCTGGAGGAGCTACTGCTAACATTAACACACTATGACCAATTGATGAGCTGTTAATGAGGAACCAGACACTCTTGGCCTTGACTTATCTCACTTTAGAATAAATTAATATGAAGGCTGTGCAACTGATGAGATACTGAAGTATTGAATCATTTTAATATCATCTCCTCTCAGCCTCTCCAGTCTTCCATTGTCACAAAAATCTGCTGTTTTTGTAACTAAGTACTAATTTTTTATTGTTATTATTATTATTATTATTATTACTATTATTTATTGTTGACTCCGTGCTTGTACAGCATCCACCTCAAAGCTCAGAAGCCTCTAGGCATAGCTGTAATGTGGATGTAAAGAGCCTAAAAGCAAAAAAAGAAGCCTTGAAAAACTCAAGAGTCCTCAGGAACTACTTAACCTCGAGGGAAGTGAGTCTCAGAGCTGGTAACATGCAAAGCTGGAGGGCAAAAAATAATGATAGCAGAAGAAACAGGCATTGCTTCTGAAATCTGTCTGCCCACCAGGCTGAATGGGACTAAGTATGTTGAGGCTGGCAGTAAACACAGGGGAAAGCCATGTTTTGCTATGTGCAGCTGGCAATTTAAGGAATAAATGGGAAGAGAATAGACACAGAACAGGCAAGCTCTTGTACGTGGTAAAGAACGGACCAAATGTTTTTACTCCTGGGATCTTCAGCAGGTTTGTCTTTTTTAAAGTGGATTATGTTAAAAAAAAAGGATCAAATGACAAATAGGCTCTGCAATTGGCGAGCACAGGGGCACTGATTAAACAGAACGAGTATATTGTGCATTAATTAGAGTGAGCTCTTGACTTACAGTCCTGAACATTTGCTGTTTTATAACAGGTGGAAAATGTCTAAATTTTTATAATCCCTCCTGCAAATGGCATTTAAGATATTTCTGACAAAAGTATCCAAACTAAATACTTGCTGATAGAGCAAGTTCAGTCCTGGATAATATTGGGATTTTGGAGGGAGTTTTGGTGGGGGGTTATTTGTGGGGTTTTCTTTTTGTTTTTTTGTTTGTTTTTTTTTTTTTTTATGAGGCTGCTAAGCAGCAAAAGGCCATCTCAACCAAAAGGTTATTTGTGTTCAGAGCAAAAAAAGACAGGATAATCTTTTGCCTTCCGTGTCCCATATTGAAGAAACTGGTATTTCAGTATGAGAAAGCATTTAGCTCCGATCCGTCTTCTATTCTGTTCAGTGTTTTAAAGACTTCAGACAAAGTTCCTGCCCTTGCAGTCTCCACACATTTTTCAGATGTGGCTGAGCATGGTTACTCATCAGGTTTAGAAGTGAAAGGATATTTTGCAGATAAACAGCACAGCAACAAATTCTTCTCTTTACAGAACTTTGCTAATATAACAAGAAAACACAGAGGTAAAAGAAAAAGACTTCCAAGAAGGGAAGCTTTCCTCAATAGCTTTATAAAGTTCTACACTTTACACAGTGTAATAAATAAAGGCTTAGATTTACTTTTTCTCCTTTATCACCCTTCAGTCCAGGAAATCCAGGGGATCCTTCTTCACCCTAAAACACCAACACAAAAGTTACCTTGTATGAAATTACATATATATGTGTATTTACACAGCACAGTTACCTTTTGGGAGTTGATGCCAACCTTTTCTTGCTGTACTGCTGCTATTCAGTCACCTGCAACTTGGCCATATATGAATGATTTCAATTCCAGTTTTCCATCCAACTGTCCACCTCTGGCTGTTTTTTTCTTTCCTCTATTTGTAAATATCAGCCAAGAGGAATCTTTTTTCCAAGGACAAAATAAGAGGCATATCCTTATGAAATAAAACTATTTCAAGCAGAAAAACATTTCACTGAGAAACTCTCCTATTGCCACATTTCAGACTACTTGAAATTTTCCATGGCCAACCTACTGCTAGAGATACCTTATTTTTTCCACTTTTACCTGCTCAATGTAGGCTGAAATGTATGCTTTGGAAATCACCCCATTTAGATCTTTATCAATAGATACTCCTCAAACTCATCAGCTAATGTCTTCAAAGACTCAGAACACGTTTCAGCGCTCAGTGGATGAAGCAGGATTATGCCTTCTGCTGTGGGTTATTTGGTTGTGATCCAGCAGCCTGCCTATACTTGTTCTGCACGTTCATGCTCCAGTCAATGGCACCTAGGATCCAGCATTGCTGGGTTTCATGAGACACTGTCATGTGTCCTTCAATGGATATTTATCAGCATCTCCATTGTCTGAAATAGTAGGTATCTGTGCATGAGACATTAAAGAAGCTAGCACTGCTGGCAAATGACATGGCACAAAGCAGAGCTAATCCACTGAGAGCTTCTCCCTGTCTACTTATGTACCTAAGAAATGGCAGGAAAAATCCCTTCGAAGTACATTAAAACCATGCACATGTATAAATGCAGCAAAACTAACATTTTCCATGTTGCCTTTAAACACGTATGGACTACCGACATGTGCAGATAAACAGGCCAAATTCTGCCATTCTCAGCCTTATTTGTGATGTGTGGTTTTTTTCCTGCATGAGTAATTCAGCAGACTTAGACGGATGTATTCCTAAGGCAAGGTTCCAGCCAATGTCAGACTAAATGATAAAATCTGACCTTATTTATTTATAGGTATATGTGGCAGTTAGAGGTTAATAAAAGAAAGTATCTGGAAATTATCTATACTATATATGCAAATTAAAGTCATTAAATACTCTTATAATCACATTACTCACTAAATGTGAATGTTCATGGAGCACTCAGTCTAGAATTTCCAGTGCAACTAGGGGTAAAAATCAAATTTGCTGTATTTGAATAGGTCTCTCATGAGAAAGTAAGAAAACCCATAAAATAGCAAATGTGATTTTTAAAGAAATCACTTGTTCTATGAGGTTAATATAACTTGAAGGAACTGCTGTTCCATGGCAAAGTGTGCAGCACAGGTGGAATGATTTTTGTCTTTTCTTTGCGAATTACAGGAAGAGGGTTAATAACTTCTTTTGCCCTTTTTTTTTGTTTGTTTGTTCTGTGAAGTAGCATCTTTTTTTAAAATAACCTTGAAATCAGCCAATAAGTTGCAAGCACAGTACTCATTAAGCCATCCATACTGGACAGAACCTCATAAGGTTTCTTCTCCAGCCTCACACTCAAAGCAACAGTGAACTCACACCAAGTTGTTCACAGTTCACCCATTTTGGCACTGAAGACCTTTGAAAACAAGGCTGCTCCTCTTCCCAAACACAATTGGTAATTTGCATCCTAAATTAATTGGATCTCAGCAGAGGAGAAAGACCTTTATTTATTATTAAGGAGGAGCTGAGGAGCTACGAGAGATGGTTTAGTAGCTTGTGGCACTGATAGGAATGGGAGGGTGGTTGGACTAGATGATCTTGCAGGTCGTTTCCAACCTTGTGATTCTGTGATTCTATTAGCTGAAATAGCATGATTTTTCCCATTTGATTTTTCACACATCCCAAGAAGCTGCCTGCAGAGATGTGAAGCCAAGAGTCTTCACAGCCAAGGGTGTGCAAGGGCATCTGCAGGGTAGAACTGCAGACTCTCTCCCTCTTGGTGACCATGCATGCAGAGGCAGCTGGTCAGCCCACAGACCAGATTGAGGGTCAGCAAGAGGGGGAGAGGGCTTTCAAGGCTGCATTAGGCTCAAAGAGTATGTGATCCAGCAAAGCCTAGCACTCCAAGGAGCTCCATTAATAAAGTAATTTCCTCCACCCGTATATATTGCCACAGCCTCACCCCTGCTGTATAAATTGAAGCGCTGTGAGGCACACCCCAAGAAGCCCATTTCAGAACTAACCCTTCACTAGAAATAAAGCTGGAATGTTTAATCAGCTTGCACTGCCAATCTTCAGGTATCCACTGGCCTTACTAGTAAACTATTCAGAAACAACCTAGACTGTGGAGAAAAATTTATCATCCACAGGGGAATTACCACTAAACCCCACCACCTGAGAGAGTGGAAAGGCCTCCTGCTTCTGCTACTTCAGTTGAAAAGCATTGACATTGCTTTGCTCTCATATGGTGCCAAAGGAACTGTGACAGAAGGGATGGAAAGCTACAGACAGCTTGTACCCTTAGCTTGCAACCAGCTGCTGAAACTCCCACTGAGGCTGTAGCTAACTGGAACAGTGTTCTGATGCCAGGGCAATTTACTTCACTAAGCTACTTATTCTATTTTTATTTTTTAACTAGCCAATCTCCTGAATGGTATCACAGAACAATCACGTGTTCTTTTCAATAGTCCACAGGAATTCTTTAATTAGGTAAGATCCTAATTAAACTATCATGCTCACCATACCGTCGAGACCTTGGGAAGTAATGGTGTACCCAAAAGGTGTCAGTGCCCTCTCTCTCTATTACAGTAGAGGTCAATTAGGTTAGCAAAAGAGACAGAGGATCTGTCCTGGAAACCATTTAGTAAGGCCCAATAAAGTTGCAATTAGAGAATTACAACACTGGCCAAGAAGAAATCACAAGGGCCTGGAATGATTTTGTTCAAGAGTAGTTCATGCTGAGGAGGTTACAACTCCAGCAATTAGGCTCAAAAGGAAAGCAGGAGATTTTCCTGAGTACTTTTGTCCTTTTCAGACTCCTGAGCATGCTGTCCTTTTCTCACTGAAAATCCAGCCACGTATGTTTGGTTTCATCCTCTTTGTTGCACAGCTAGCAGCCTTTAATCAAACCTTCCCACAAATGTTAACAAGAGAATAAATCCGTTCATTAGCTCAGAGTTGGTAAAATACTTGTCAAAAGGGTCTATACCTGGCAAACTGCCACCTGATCCAATGTGACCAGAGGAATTTTCATGTAGTATAGCCCTGGAGTGCTATCAGCTATACAGAAGCAGATAATGCTGAGTAAGAGAGGGCTGGTAGGTTCTGCAATTACTGATGGTATATACTGGCACAGACTATGAGCATAGAGAGTTTATATGTCAAATTTGTAGAGACTTAGCATGTCTCCACAAATGCCACTTCATGTTTTTCTTCAAAATTCATTCTGTGATTATTTACTTGAATTACAGCAATGGTTCATTTGCTTCCTTAGTCACTCTGCTGTGGATGCTGTATGAATAAATATTAAATGACAGTGACTACACTTGAAAGCTTAGTTCAAAACTGCAAGGGATGAGTAAATATAACAAAGAAATAGCAGAGACAAAGGGCACAGGCTAGTAAAATAGCTGCCAAGCAAACATGGATGCAAGTGCACTGGGCTGAAGGATCTAGGCATCATGCTGTGAGAAACGGGTCAGCTTCAGCAGCTGGCATTAAGCCCTGGGGAAGAAAAGCTCATTGCATTTCTTGCACCAAGGCCAAATGTAGTTGTGCACACTGAGAATGATAACAATAATAGCATGTATTCACAAGTTGGCTGTGCTCCCAGCTTCAACACAATGAGATTCTTCTGCTAGTGACTTGTAAACTATATGTAATTGCTTATCCCATGTATTTCTACTGCTACCTCTCTACTTCATGGATGTCTGAATTTCAATTTCTTGCCCTTTCTGAAGAAACATTTGGACTAGACTGGAAAGTCAGAAGTACCACCCCTTCAAGGAATTGGGAAGGAAAGACTACTATTAAGAAGAGGAACAGGGTGGAGCTTCTAAAGCAACTTATCTTTGGCTTAGCCAACACCTGGTTATAGTGAAGTGACTTTGTGCTTTAAGTGGAGCAACCTATTGTTTATTTCATCAACAGTTTTGTGGAAAAAAGCTTGAGTGTGCATGTAGTTGTACCTGTAGGTGTATTAAAAAATACAGCAGTTTGGCTTAGGAATTTCCAAAAATACTGAACACTACAAACTCTGAGGATGCAGAACTAGATGAATAACTGAAAACTCTTTCATGAAGGAATCAATAGAAATTCTGCGAGCAAATTGTGAATATTTTCTGAGCCATATCTACTGGGCAAAAGGAAATGTCACATCATGAGGGAATCCAGAACCCAGGCAACTTTCAGCTGCTGCATTGTATTAGAGAGACTACAAATAAGAATATATCCATCAACTTCGGTTTAGTACAGCTACTGAAAATATATAGGTGAGCTGTGGATGCATAAACACGCACTGACAGTTTTTTTTGTTAGCTTGTCTGCAATAGCAGAGTTATCTCATTTCTAGATTTGAGTGAGGATGTCTTCCTGGTATACCACTGCCATATGTCATGCCAGCTGTAGGTTAGGGTGTCCTTCTGTGGTCATAAAGGTCTTAAGGTCTTTTTTTTTTAATTCTTTTTATCTTCTTAAAACTTTCATTCCATGCTCACCATATGCCCACATAGCTTTATTTGTTTTGTTTTATCCAAAGTTTTACCTCTCAGGTTATTTTCATATAACTATAAATTCATTAAGGTTGGAAAAGACCACCTAGATTATCTATCACAGTATTCTCCTGCGGAAATCGGCTGCCTGTGGTCTGAACAGGTACACACTTCTTTGGGTAAGGAACTGGCTAGAGGGTGGTGCCCAACGGGTAGTGGTAAATGGAGTTAAGTCCAGCTGGTGACCCATTTCAAGTGGTGTCCCCCA